ACAGGAAAAAGGAGCAGAGTCTAACGCATATGTTCCTATGGACCCAGAGAAACTCCTGTCTGAAAGATAGGAGGAAAACCAGTCCAGAGCTGATCCAGTAGTCCAGTCTATCAATCAGAGTGCAGTGATTCACAGTATCAAACGCGGCACTGAGATCTAATAGGACCAGAACAGAACATTTACCCCCATCAGCAGCCATCAAAATATAATTTGAGACCCTAAGGAGGGCAGTCTCAGTTGAATGTTTTTTTTTTTATGAAAACCAGACTGAAACTTATCAAAGATATTATGAGAATCCAAAACATTATTTATCTGGTTCGCAACAACCTTTTCTAGAATTTTAGAAAGAAAAGGCAATTTAGAAATAGGGCTATAGTTTCTAAATGAAGCTGCATCAAGATTGTTCTTTTTCAAAATAGGCTGAACAACAGCATGTTTAAAACAGCTGGTCCAGCTGAAGAGATAAGTTTAAAATTGAAAACAAACATGGGCCAAGTAGATGTATGGATTTTAAAAGTAAATTATCAACAGGGCTTTGTGAAGTTTCATTGTGCCCACTAATTTAATGATGTTATTCAGGGAAATGGGGCAGAAGGAGTCCAGTATTGAAAGTCTGTGATGTTTAACTATATGGGGGTTTGCTGATGGAACAATGCCTGCCCTGACAGCTGTAACCTTTTCCACAAAATGAGCCAAAAAGTGGTTGCAGTCAACATTTGAAAACACAGGGACAATACATGCAACAGGAGAAACAATGTTGTTAATAGTCTCAAACAGAGCTTTAGGATTTTTTTTACAGGCAGATATTAGATTAGTCTATTAAGAGCTCTTTAAGATGTTCATTAGCAGGGAGAGGATCCTCATCACGAACAAGATCAAATAAGATGCATTTTTGATCACTAACAAATACATCTTAGATGCAAACATTATTAATGTTAACTGATAAAATTACAGTCCACAGGACAGAGCTCATTCAAGTGATAGTATTCCATATCCTGTTGCCAAGTCTCCGTGAGCAACATGAAGTCCATGTTTTTGGAAATAAATAAATCACTGAGCAAAAGAGACTTGTTTACAATTGAACGGGCATTTATCAGACCCATCCTGAGCGGTGCAGGAACACCTGAAGCAGAGAAAGAGGCTCGCAGCAGCGACCTCAGATGCGCAGAACACACACCGCGACCAGTGGTAGGGTTTCTCCAGGGCACCGGGACCGGAGCCCTGGGGACGTCAGGGAAGACAGAACGAAGACATGAAGGTCTGGAGTCGCAGTCAAAGACCCCCAGCTTGAAGAGCTTTTTGATGAACCTACCTCCCTGCCCTTTTTCCTCGCTTTCACTGCCGTCTATTTGTGGGTCTTATTAGGTCCTCTCCATGCTACATACAGACAGCAGTTGTAATCGTACATATGAACGGGGCAGCAAACTCACCTGTACCACTCAAGGTACATCTGTCACTGCACTCCGCTGTTGGGCCTCACAGTCTGGTAGAACAAAAGACTGGGCCTGTTGGAATCTCCAAAGCCTGACCCCGGCCTACAAGCCAGCCATGTGGCTTGACTACACAAAGGAGGTCAGAGAACAATGGAAAGCCCAAATGGCCTGTCAGTTAAATCACACCTACCTGTGAACTTTTATCTTTTAAAACCAAACCAAAGGTTTGTATTGGCTAAAGCTTTCGGGGGGCGGAGTAATCCCAGGAAGTACAGCCATTTTGTCAACAGAGGTATAAAACTGAACACCTCCGAAACCTCATTCCAAGCTCCTCCTTCCTATATCTTTGATATTCCCTGTACACAGGATAAGCGGTTGACGATGGATGGATGGATGGATCTTTGATATTCAGCTAATAACCAAACCTGACCATATGTTGACAAAAAAAAAACAACACCGCCATGGAGGATCAGATCAACAGCATTGTTTGCCGATCGTACACCCATGCAGTAGACACAACATTTGTTGACAAACTTAGTAGCAATATAGTGCAGGAAACAAACAAAACAAGTCAGGACGAACAACCAGCCGCAGAGGCGAAGCCAAACACAGGCGCCATGATGGAACCGGAAGTGATGTGAGTGGTGGGCTTCTCAAACCTACATTAAATACCATTCACGGGGCTGCACGGGGAACAGAGCGATAGGCGTCCTTTAATGTTGTGTAGCAGTGGTCCAGTGTGTTAGTGTCCCTGGTGGGACACTTAATATGCTGTTTGGAAGTTCGTGGCTGAGGTTTGCTCTGTTGAAGTCACCGAGAACAATGAGCAGGGAGTCTGGATGTTTTTTCTCCACGTTAGTTATCTGGTTGGCCAGGTGTCGTAACGATTAACGATAGAATGATTGTCTCCACTAAAAATGTTATGCATATATCCTCCAGCCTAATTAGTAAGACATCAGCATCTAAACATCCAACAGATTAGCTGCTCAGATTAGACCAGTTAAATACAAGCGGCAACCTCTGAGGCTAAACCGGAAGACAGAAAAACTGCAGTTCATCGCATGGCCATTGCTATCCACTAGGCCACCATGCTTAGCTCTCAGCTGACATTATGTTAACGTCAAACTTTCCAAACGGCAATGTTGGATTTGGCTTCGTACTGTAACAGAGTCACTGCTCAGTTATATACTAGTCAGCTACTATTATAAGTGACTGCACCTAAATTGGGGGACACAAAGGCACAGAGCAGAGGGGAGAGCGGCTGCAGAGTTCTGCCTGCCAGCCGTTGCTGTTTAAAAACAATATAATATTCTTTGTGGGGTTTATCAGTGGTGATAAATGATTCAAAGTACATTTTTAAGAATGTCTAGCGTCAATCAATAATTTATTCCATCCTTGAGATACAGTGAAAGATCTGTGGTGATAACCATGTTTGATCAATGTGCACAGCAAAGTGTCTGAAAAGGACCTTAAGAGGTTGATGCATCATTTGCCAGAATGATGTTTGCCAGATGTTGTAGGCTACCTGCCGAAATTTGTGTCCACGTTTTTTGTCAGCATGTATGAGTGGTGTCTCTTGCAGTCAATTCACGACAGGCATGCTCTGCAAAATACATGTGGTCAGGTAGCTGGTTTAACTATGCCAACGTAACTGATTTGGTTATATAAGTCCATCCAGATGGATATAAGTTATATTAGTTAAGGTGGGAAATTAGGTGTTTGACATCCGCTTCTGAGTTTTTCATTTGGTGGATTAGAATTTGCCCCCCCCAAAAAATGCAGTTAGTAGTAGTACAGTTCAATAATAAATATAAAATAAGTTCTTAATAATAAATATACAATTAGAGCTGACTTGAGTGGTCAAATGGTGTCTAGCAGCATGGATTATTACTGCACAGTGTCCAGCAGCAAATGTTAATATTGCACATATGAGTAAACAGTGTATTTCACAATTCCACCCCAATTACTGTTAAATGCCTGAGAGGTTATCATGCTGAGGCGATCTCAGTTCAGTACCACAGCCAGGAGCACCAACGAACCAGCTGTATTGACGATCCTAGCTAATGATCCCACAGAGGTTAAATAGCTGTCAGTCAGAACTGAAGAAGTCTCTTGGATCAGGGACGAAACATTTTCTAGTTTACTTCTACAAAGTCCATTTGCCCTTGACCTCAACCTTTGTTGGCTTTGTGGGTACTTTTGTGGGGAGTTGCACTGCTTTTTTCTACAATTTATTACCATAGAATTGAAAGTGAAGTTTCTAGCAATGTATTTTGGCTCTTTAGGTAATGCAGTTTACCTTCCACTTCTGGCAGTTCATTTCACATTTATGCATTTTCAGCAATGCTTTTGTTGCAGGCAGCCCTACTGTGATAGATTGCTTAAAGATGTCTGACGTCTCTACAAGTTGATGCTTGCACTGTGGTAAAATTTACTAAAACCACAATCTGTAGGAGAAATAATAACTTTTGAAATGTGATCAGCCATGACGTAAATGTAAAGGCATTACTATGCAAATTAAAGATTCTGCTGATGAGCAAGCTCCAAAATTAATTTTATCCTTTTTTTGTTTTCTGGTTTTGAAATTCTAACAGAATAGCTTGAACAAAAATACACATAGGATTATAAAAACACAACACTTTTCAGCAACTGACTGTCAAAGATCAGATGTCTAGTGATTCTTCACCAGCACTTGAACATACACAAACAGCCACAGAGAGCTATAGGTTACACTTCTGAAATGCAACTGTTACGTCCTGGAGTGCTAGGGGTATTGGGACATAGACATGATAATTTTTTCCCCCAGAAATGATGTATACAATCAGATAAATGCAATGCACGGATAATCCACCAGGTGGCCGAAATTACTTTAACATATGATGTATAGTTACTTATTTTATAGTAAAATTGTTAGATACAGCAGGTAATTTATGTATACATCTGTAAATCAGTTTTATTGCATATCCTTCATTTCTATTAAGCTACATACTCTTTTAATTATTTTAGTAAACTGATTAAAGACATAATTTGGTATATTTAGAGCAGAAATTGAGAAATTTTGTAGCCTATATTGTATTCATATTTCAAATTCAGAGCAGAAATACATGGTTACACGGTTTGTATTTTTTAAATGGCAAAAAAGTACAGCATTGAAGATATCCTGATTATGGATGGCAATTCAAGTGACATGGAGCAGTTAGGGGAGGATAATGATACTAATGATGATAAAAGGCTTAAATGTTGTGTTCTGCATGTTTTATGTCATTTTAAAAATAACATGATGTGGGCAATACATTGGTGCATGCCACCCAATGATGGGGGGGTGGCAGTGGCATGCCATACCAATCAGAGTTATCGTTGCAGGAAAACCCAGGAACTAGGCGGGACATTTCTTTACAGCACAGCCAATCCGCAGCATGGAATTGCACAGCCTGCTCAGCATATTAAATAGAAGCACATTCACAGTTAAATAACAGGCGGGTGCCGGCAGCTGTAACACAACTTAACAGCATGAAGAAAAGATTTGTTGCAGTTTCTATTGTTTATTGATTGTTGTGTGTCTCTTAGGACATAGGATGTTGTCAAAAAAGGAGGAGAAGAGGTCATTCAGCAATGGGCCGCTTAGAGACCAATGGGAGAAGAGAGCTCAGAGCATGGCGGACCAGTGCAAACAGGAGGCTGAATGGAAGGAGAAAAGTTCCCTCAAAATGTGAGAATATTTTTAGTAGATATACTAGATTTAGTTAGATATTTTTAGTTTTTTGTATCACATCAACGGCAAGGAAAACCTTATCATACAAAATGTAATTTTCCTTCACAATTACAACAACGTTTAAGTTTAAGCTCCAACATTTCAAATCTCAAAATTCAACATTCATTCAGAACAGATCAAACCTTTTCTAAAGATCTGCCTAAACTCAAATGGTTCTAGCCTGATAAATGTCAGGAACGACCGAGTGCTGGAGCTGTAAAGCAAGGTTTAGGGGCCAAACGCAAGATGGTAGAGTCACTGATACAGTTTGCCAGGTTTATTGTAGAATATTTAGGATAATCAAGGCAGACAGAAAACTAATCTAGACAGTGACACCAGGCACAGACCATATTAAACTAAAACAGGAACAAGCTGAGACACAGACCAAAAACACAGAAACACAGACCAGAACAGACCAAGATCATGACAATAACTCAAACTAACCAACTAATTTATGTAGCTAGTAGAGTTGAGCTAACCCCACAGATCATTTACTAACTATTCAGCTTTAGTTCCAGAAACATTTTGTTGTCATCACAATTTAATGGAAATGCTCTTTAGTGTGGGTTATACTTAAATAAAAATACACATAGGATTTTAAATAGGCAAATGAGGTGGTGCTACAGAAGCACATTACATTCATCAAAGAGAAATAATCTAGACATTTGCTGTGTACATGATCACTCTCTTGTTTGCTTATTCACTATTCACTATTTAGTACATACAGTAGTTTTCTGATTTCAGCAGTAACTTGAGATTTCAGACACTAAAATTAGCATTTTGCACCATCAAGTGTAGAATCGCACAATGGAAATTTTTGCATTTGAAGAAATTGCACTGCGTTAGTCAAATGTAGTGGTCATGCAATGGACATGGATTCACACTCAAAATTTAGATGAAAATAGCAGAACATAAATATAGTTAGTTTCACTGATTATACTTCACTAAGAAATGTGTGATTCTGAATACAGTTGGTATCCCCTAATAGGCCTTCTTTCACATTTTGAGTCGTTATAGTAGTAAAAGGCACAGGCGGAACTAATACTGTTAATGATGCCTCCGCTCCGTTCGGTCATCCCAGTAAGTATAATGCTCAGTTGACCTTGAAACTGGTTTGACAAATAATTGGGCTAACCGTCATTTGAGCCGATGCCGGGCTGGACTGGTATTTCTGGACTTGGTAACCTTGCATTCTTCATTTTACAAGTCACATATTTGTGGATTTTGTGTGAAACAGCACAGTAGAAGAGTCTTAAAAGAATCCACGCATCCAGATTACAGATGCAAATCACTCTGACATAGACATGGATACAGATTTACAGAGACCATTGTAATCCCATACTGTAAGACTGAAAAACTTCCACATTCACACAGGCTACCTTAATCCGTGGAGGGTGTGACTGCTGAACAAGCCAAACATCTCTGCTTCCACTGTCAGTATGTGCCTTTAGTTGAACTCTGCAGCCACTGCAGTAATGAAGGTGGCACTTAAATCCGCCACCATATTCTCTCTAAACTTGCCACTACGTTTCTCAGAGCCCATTCATTCTGACAATATATGAGTTGATTTCCTATATTTCTTTGTTTTTTACATCACAGATCTTTCTCAAAGTGGAATTATCACTGGTCACTTGTTTCTAAAGGAGACTTCAGTAAGCTCACCAGCGGCACAGATGAACCAGAAAAAAACAAGCCGAAAATCAAATTCAGAATCATCCCCCCTCCTCCCAAACCCAAACCTGAGCCTCCTCCTCCTCCTCCGCCTCCCAAGAAAACAGCTTCACCCAAACTTCGCAGACCAAAACGAAAAGTAGAGGTGGATGTGTTTGGGCTTTGCTGGAGAGATTCCTGGATGAGCCTGAAGCCTCCAAAGTATCTTTATCTGAAGACAAAAGAGACGAAAATAAAAATCCCAGGATTCACAACCATAAAGCTAACCAACAACAGGAAGTACAACCCAAAGGAGTACGAATCAGAGGCTAAATGGGCATCTCATATTGATAAATGGAGTCACTCTTGGAAACAGGTACAGAGACTTTAAAATACACTAAAACCCAGACCACTGACCAATGGTTTCAGGGTTCCAGCCATGTTTTGGATAAAGTGTGCAGATTGTGATGTGTTTTGACTAGTGCTGGGAAGTTTATGTGTTATATTGGTACAACCTGGTTCATAAAAAATCATCTCTAAATCAGACTGTTCTCATCTCAGGGTGTCCAAAACCAACGCTTTTAGAAAAAGTGACAATGCGTAGTTATTTGACGCCAAAGGTACGCTTCTGCATCTGTGTGAGACACACCGGGTGCCGGATGCAACTGTATGAGAAGTTCTGGGGCGTCTCGTACAGACCAGAAGTGCTAACTAGTGCTAGTTAGCTAGCTACGTTCATATTATTAAAGGTCTTGACAGCCCCCCAAAGCCCCCTACCCTTACCATAACCATCAGAAATGTTAGTACCTAAACCTAAGTCACTGACTTAGTAGTAGTATATTGAGTTTTTGAGTTTTTTCTCTGACTCTGGTACGTGAACGAATCGAAAGAGCAAACAAGCCCCAACAAATATAATTATCAGGGCCCAAGCACGAACCATGTGAGGTCCCTATTGAAACTGAAGGGATTTTTTTTCTTTCTTTCTTTCTTTCTTTATTATGCAAAGTAACCTCAGTTTTGGGGGCCTAAACATACTCGAAAACTCACCAAACTTTGCACATAATTCAGACGCAGCAAAATTTTTTGTATTTTATGTATTTTGTTCATGAGTGTGGCAAAATGGCTCGCTAGCGCCCCCTACAGAGCAGCCCCCGGACAAAGTTTCACCTACGTGTACAAAATTTCTGTGGTATGCACAAAAAAGCCAGGAAGTCGGGCATTTAGGATTTAATGGTGATTTACACACTTTGTACTTTAAAAAACAATTCCTAGAGATTTAGTACGACCAATTTCAGATTTGTGCTGTGTAGTCTAAATCCATTAATGATTAAAAGTTGTGCAAACGGTGAGTATTCGTGGAACAGCATGCCCGTGGCATGGCGTCCAAAATCGATGATTAGCCATAAAACAGGAAGTTATTGTAACTTCAGTCTACATGCTTATATCTGCACCAATTTTGGAATACATTATAAGAGTCCCACACTGAATTCATATTTTAATTCATACCCCAACATTCATATGCCACTATTCACTCAAAGTCATAGCGCCACCTGCTGGCAACAGGAAATGACACGTTTTACACTGTAATGAACTACTCCAAGCATGTTGGACATATGAACTTCAAAACTGTCCCAGGAAACCCTTAAGACATTGATGAGGCTATGTTGAAAAAACTTTTTTTTCGGTAAACGTCTTGGCAGTGGCATGGCGGCGAAGTGCCATGCTTCGCCATGACACAGGAACTTTTCTGTACATGCTCAGATCTGTACAAAATTTTACACATTTACTAAGAGTCCCGCCCTGAACACATATACATGCCAACATTCACCCATGGTCATAGCGCCACCTGCTGGCAACAGTAAATGACTTAACGAAGCAGCCCCCGTGGCACGTTTCACCTACATGTATGAAATTTCTGTGGCACATGTATCTTGTCCAGACGTATTAAAAAGCCTCTTGGAGTGATGCCCTAAACCCAACAGGAAGTCGGCAATTTTGAATTTTACAATAATATGTGTTCAGGTCGCAACTCTTATTATACATGCAGGTGTGAGCATGTATACTGAAGTTATAACAACTTCCTGTTTCATGGCGATTCATCGATTTTTGACAGCACGCCATGGGCAAACTGGTCGACTGGCAATAACTGTTTGTACAACTTTTAATCAATGTCAATGGGTTTAGACTGCACAGCAAAAAAAAGCCTCCTGGAGTGATGCCCTAAGCCCAACAGGAAGTCTGCCATTTTGAATTACAGCGTAAAACGTGTCATTTCCTGTTGCCAGCACGTGGCGCTATGACTTTGAGTGAATATTGGCATATGGATGTGTTCAGGGAGGGACTCTTATAATGTATTCCAAATTTGGTGCAGATGTGAGCATGGAGACTGAAAAGTAAAGGTAAAGTGTGCAAAGCAGCAAAAATTACCATTAAATCCAAAATGGCCGACCTGTTGGTACCCATAAAATACTAAATTTTTTGTCGCGCCTGAATTATGTGCAAAGTTTTGAGTATGTTTAGGCCTATATACAGTCTATGGTGTAGGCCCCCAAAATTTAGGTTACTTTGCAGAAAAAAGAAAGAAAGAAAGAAAAAAATCCAATCAGTTGCAATAGGGACCTCGCACGGTTCATGCTTGGGGCCTAAATACATCCATCCATCGTCAACCGCTTATCCTGCGTACAGGGTCGTGGGGGGCTGGAGCCAGTCCCAGCTGACATTGGGCGAAAGGCGGAGTACACCCTGGACAGGTCGCCAGTCCATCGCAGGGCGGGCCTAAATACATTTAAAATAAATAAATAACTCAATGAAAAGCATAAAGAATAGTTCTACCTGTGACAACCATGGTCAACCTAAATTTGTTTGTGTGTGTACCTGTGACAGACTGTAGTTGTTAGTGAGAGTGGGACGCCACAACAACAAATATAATTTAAGACCGGAAAATTTTGAAACAATTTCTTTGATAGAAAAGAGATGCGAGTTAGATCTCTCTTAATGAACGAGGCAATGCCATATTTGTCAGATTATTTTCACCACAGGTGAATGACTTTGCATATTCCGAATCGGGGAACATAGAGGCTGTTTACACATGGCATGAAAAAGCATTTTGGGTGATCAAATTGTGATTGGGTATCACTTGGCCACATGAAAGTACAGGGACGTGCACAGGAATTTTGAAGGGCAGTTGCTCTGACCTGAAAAAAGGCACTAAACACAGTATCCAAAATGTATTAACAATATAAATGTCACCAAAATACATATGAGAAAAAGAGTTCCTTATATTATTGTTTATTGTTTTTTTTAATCATTATTATTTTTTATTTTTTTTCCTTTTTTTTTTTTATTTGAAAATAAATAATCTAGATTGAATTGACAGATGGGGAAAACTCGCTTCTAATAAAATATTAAATAAAAAAACGCTTAGATTTCGGAAAAAAATACAATCCTTTTTTAACCTTTTGGCTTCCCGTACATTCAGTTGCGCTTCTAGCTCGTATTCACTTCTGTTGGTACGTATCACGTATGGTAACTGGGCAAAACTACGCATGATTTGTTGTAGTATGATTGCATAAAGGAAGGAAACAGGAATTCCGGTAGGGAACAGAATCGACTGACGTGCAGGCAGCGCTGCAGCAGTGCAGCCACTTAAACAGAGTTTGCTCTTCCCCTGCTGAATGGAAGTGAATGAGGCTTTGCGATCGCGATTATTTTTTTATTTTATTTTTTTTTCTCGGAAGGGCAACTTGAGTCAGGAAAGGCAAACGGGCAGTTGCCCGGGCAACCAGAGCAACCCCCCTGTGCACGTCCCTGTGAAAGTACATGTGTAAATGAACCCGAGACCCATTGAGGACAGATTGTGATCCGATTAGCAAAACCACCTCTGGCGGTGGTCAGGGACACTATGACCACATGGATGTATTTGCGTTTTCTATCCACACACTACATACTACTTGGGCAAAATGTACAGTTGCAGTTTTCTGCAACTAATATAAAAAATTAAATTAAATCCAAAAGTTTGACAGCACAGACAGGCACCAAGACCATACAACGTGCTCAAACAGTGCCGATCATTGATCATGCTCATGTTTTTGGTGAACTGATGGTGTCCATTTGTGAATGTGAACTCTTGCTAGGGCTGGGCAATAAAACAATGATGATAATTATTGTGATCTAATTTTTTCTCAATAACAATATAACAAATGTTCATGTTCAATAAACATTTGATTTTATTAATTTGGATCATAAACAAATTAGTACTTTTCCTTCTATTAAGATATATTCTGTTGAGGAAAATGGACCAAAAAAGATTGTACTTCATTTTACTCATGCATATATGTAGCATTTACGTATATGAAACTGTTTAATACCAGGGTGCTGAGGTTTGGCATCAAGTGTTTGTCATGTTCTGACCATAAAGATCTGGTTTCTTCAATTTTCAGGAGCAAAAATCAGCCTTTAAACTTAAGTAACTTAATAAAAATATTGATTTAATAATGATTTGAAATTTATGGAGATAATTATCGATATCGAATGATATGGAAAGTTTTTATTGTTTAATATTTTTGGCCATATCACCCAGCCTTAACTCATGCACTGATGTGTTAAAGCCCATAAAAACTACTTAAATAACAGAAAAGACTCATTATAAAGAAAGGTAGCATGAAAATGATGCCAGACCGAACTTAAGTTTCACTTTAATTTTCTGGCTGAGCTAATACATAGGCGCACCGCTATAGAGAGAGCTAAGCATGGATAATTCATGGAGGAAAACAAATCACGGTAAAAAGACACACTTCAACCTGTAGTTATAGATAATTTTTTGGATCAGAGGAGCATGTGATGTTCGGTTGTTTGAGTTAGAACGATTGGATCTTCCTCCAACAAATTTACTTAACAACTTGCGTCTCCCATTATCTAGCAGCGAATGGCGGGGTCTGGCATTGTCAAATACTGTTAAGTTAATCAAACACATACACTTAGACGTTTTACGGTAGGCCACTGTGCGTGACAATTTCTCCACCAGCCTTAAACGTATCATCAGCAAATTTAATACCTACAGCAATTTTTTTTTAATTTAAGACCTTAATTTCCCTGATTTTATTTTAAAACATTTTAAGAACTGCGGGAACCTGATCATATAGCCACAATAAACACAATTGAAACAATTTAACTACGTAGCCTACTACCCATAGTAGAAGCATAGAAATCAAGGACAAATGACCTAATCAACAAAATCTAAGCAAGTCAGCAAAATCAGTCATGCACTACGCTATTCTTCTGAAAAGCAGCCCAGCAGGTGGTGGGGATGGGTCACGAATATTCATTATTAATCATTCATCATTAAATTTAATAAAATATATAGTCTTTGCGATCATAGTCTTTTTACCGGTGTCAGTAAAACATGGGTGTGGCACGTGCAGTTTGGCTACAACTCTGTGAGATGGGCTAGGTGCTGCAGCCTAATATTGTTAAGTGTATTGTGTTTGGTGCTGCAGAGGAAATAAGGTTCCTGTAACAGTATGAACGCCACCACAACATCTCTTCGAAGAATGGTAGAATAGTTCACATTGACTGTATAGATAGTATTTTTGCTTGAAATTCCCATCCCTAGTGCATTTGTCTGGTCAGGAGTAGGAAGGGTTTGCATTGATTGAAGTAAAGAGCTGTCAGATGCCTTATAAATAACATCTGTCTCTGATTCTTCCATGATCTCACTACACTACAAGAGAGAGTTAACCGATTAATACTTTGCAAACTATCTTCATTGTTCTTGTTTCCAGGTGAAGAGTCCTGCCCTGTTGGACTGCTCTAGGGAAAAACTATTCACTTGGAAGATTTTGTTTAAAAGAAAACTGGTTTGCATAGCTGAGATAGAAGTATATTCTCTTCCTGTCTGGGCCGGAACTTGGAAGATCATGAACTTTGCCTTCAGACAGCTGAAACAGAACTGGGACTGTATCTGGCCTGATTACCAACAAAACCTCAGCAACAAGTTTGACAAAGTACAACAACTAGAGGAGCAGGTGGGGATCAACATCATTACAAGTATTGCTTTCTTGTTAGTTTTTGCTATTTCAACTTTGTTGTTCACACAGAAGCAAATTAACACAGGAAATACTTATACAGATATATATACAGTATGTTAGGTAAGAGCAGACCAGACTGAGCAACCAGAGGCTTGTACTACGAAGGGGATTTAACTTAATCAGAGTTAACTCTGGTTTATCAAGGAAAGTCAGAGTTGACTCTGACTGCCTACACTGGTGTTAAACGGTACTATGGCGGTGAATAAGATGTTGGTTAGCTGAGTTGGTGTTAACTTAATTGGAGTTGGGCACATTCACATAAAAAAGCTTTTTCACAATGGCGCATGCTCCGTGTTTTTCCCAGAAGAATACACGATGATAATAAGAGCTACTTACAGATAAACTAAATGGAGGTAGGTCAGGGACGCAACTGACAAACGCGATTGAAACGTGATTCCTCTCATTTCTCTCTAATTCATTACAGTCGCTAATGCTGCACATTGCTCAATTAGCCACAAAGCTAGCTAATGCCATGTTTACTAACTAGGGTGAACAGACATCCCCGCTCCCCTTCGAGGGAACTCGAACTGCATCGGTGACGACTATAGGGGAACGCCTCTGGGCGTGGCAGGGCTGAATTATGAATGAAACTACTCCAATTCTATTGGTGTTATGGCGTATATAAGCATGCCGACACACAGGACACATTAGCTTTTTTCTATTCAGCAGGCACTGTGAGTATGTTTGAAAGCTCCACTATTGGAAGATCGTCTTACCTGGAAGTTCCCGACGAAGCAGAAGAGATCATGTCTGGTACAGCTCCGACAGTGTGTTTTTCCTTCATCACGGCTGGGGATACTCACGAGATGTGTGTTTCCTGCCTAGGGATGTCGCATGCCCAGGCAGCTCTCGAGGGGGCTGCCTGCGGCCATTGCGAGGCCCTGTCTTTGAGGGTGCTGAGGTCTCGTGCGGCTCTCTTTTCGGTGGATGGTCGGATGCACTCTTCCCGTGGCTAAGGCCCCGCGGTTGCTGAGGTGTCGCAGGGGCCTTTTCCCGGTCCTCGTCTGCTGACTCCCCCTCCCCTCTTCCCCGATCGGTAGCCCGTTTTTTGGCTCCCCCCTGCCCGAGTCCAGAGAGGCTTGCACAGTCTGGCTCCGAGGAGATAGACGTGCTTAGCATCATGGAGGAGGACTTCCGGGAGCCGGGCCGATGTCATCAGTCTTCGCCCAGCTTCGATGAGTTATTGGAGGTGGTGACGAGGGCTACGGCCAAGCTAAGACTACTGGCCTGTTTGGTGAGGCAGTAGACACTGTCATCAGCAGGTTCCAGCACGTAAAAACGCAAGGAGAGAGAAACGCCAGAAGCGAAGTGTCGCTTCCCGTGGTCCCCCTCAACCAACCTGACGAGACAGAATTATCACAATTGTGGCCAAATAAGTGTTTGCAGTTTATAGCATAACCAGGCCTGACATTTACGTGATTTTATAAAACGGGTAACTCAAATCAAGCAGTTTGATTGATTCATAGTCATGATATAATGAGCGTATACAACAGGTACGATGTCGAATTCCTTTGCACAGATCTGTATCACTGCGATGATGATTTGATGTTGATTAAACTCTCTTAAGAAGGGGGAAATAAATTATTTTTGAACACCGGCACTAGTGTGGAGGGCTCGTCTAGTCCGAAATGTTTACGGAACTGTGTCCAGATCTTAAGTGAGTGGGAAACAACCGGATTTTGTGAGATATCATGAAGTTTGAGCGGGAGCCGGGTGGTCAAGAGAGAGTGTAGTGAGTGCTTGGATGACCCAATGGATGTCCATTCGTGCCCATAAAGGGTACTCCTGAATGGGTGAAAGGGCCACAATAGATTCTTAGAAGAGGCACTTATGGGGAGAAGCTCACTTCTATGGAAGTTGAACTTGTATCCTGAGTATCTTCCGAATTGGGCTAAGATATTCTTAACAACTGGAAGGGACGAGACCGGGTTAGAAATAAAGCAGTAGCTCATCCGTATACAGGGACAATTTATGAGTGATGCCCATCCTGTTGATGCCCTCAAATCTCCCCTCCTCTCGAAGCCAAATGGCTTCAATGGGGTTCAATGGCCAGAGCAAATAGAAGGGGAGAGAGGGGGCACACCTGCCAGTTTCCACTCCACCCTATCGAACACTTCTCAGCATCTAACGATAGTATTACCTCCGGGGTGTCCATATTCAGAGAGCTGATGATGTTAAGCAGCCATCTAGTGTTATTCAAGGTGTTCCTCCCAGCCATAAAGCCGGTTTGATCTGGCGACATCAACACTGGTAAGGCCTGTTGTAAACGTAGAGCAAGCACCTTTGCAAGCATTTTTAGGTCCACATTTAAAAGAGATATCAGTCTATAGCTGCTACACTCAAGAGGATCTTTACCTTTTTTTAATAACAGGCAGATGGTGGCTTCGTTTAGGTTTGGGGGTAGCCAGCAATTAGCAAAGGACTCATAAACCTGTGCCAGAAGCGGGGATAATAAGTCAGTGTATGTTTTATAAAATTCAACTATGAACCCATCGGGTCCAGGGGTTTTACCACTCTGTAGCGATCTGATTGCGTCTTGTACTTCATCAGTTGTGACCAGGGACCCTAAGCTATTAGCAAAGTCGCTACTAACTCTATGGAGTGTGATGAACTCAGGAGGGTTATTGTCATTCCAGATCTCTGGCATATACTCAGATCAGAATTAAAAATCAAAAACACACATTGTTCACCATTTTTGGGTCAGAGACGCTTTATCCTGGGGATTAGTCTGGAGAGTGACACCGCCCTGGCCCGATGGGCATGAAGCTTACCTGCCTTTTCTCCTTTCAAAGTAACGTTGTTTCGATTGTAGTAGCTGTCTTTCTATCCTAGCAGTTGACATAAGCCTGGAGCATAGAAAGTGGGGTTGGGGTTTGTGGCCACCCTCTGGAGATATCGATATCTCCATTAATCTGGCATTTTCTATCTTTCTCAATTGATATGCGAAAGAAATAGCTTGCCCACGCAGGTACATTTTGCATGCCTCCCATAAAGTGCTTCTCGTCATGTCGGGGGTACCATTTAGCTGAAGAAAGTGAGAAATTTCCTCCGCTAAAAATGTCTTAAAATGCAAGTTATTCAGTATCAGAGGCAAGAGCCGAGGTTGAGTTAGATATTAAACAACTTGCCAGAGACGGCCACAAAGCGACCCTCAGGGTCCTTGATAGACTTTTTTGCTAATAATATACTGTATTAGAATATTATATTTTTGCTAATAATGATGGCCACCCCCCTTGCCCTCTCGGAATAACTCGAATGGAATACATGGTTCATCCACGGTCTTTTAATACGTAAGATGTCAGAGGACTTGAGATGGGTCTCTTGGAGGAAAATAATATCCCCCTTAAGCTGTTGCAAGTGTGCTATTACTTTACCCCTTTTAAGCCTAGCCCTAATTTAACCATCATGTAGCTTCCTGTTCTTATGCTTTAACCTCTCTCACAGTTACCACGGCTCATATGCCAACCCTTACAGAAAAGTAGACAATAATTACATAGAACTTAAAAAGCCAAAAATTGCCACCAAAAACACCTGCGACCTGAGTTGGGCTCTCCAACCAAGATTTAACCCAGATGAAAATCACCATCATTAATCATTGACAGGAGGTTGATGAATAAGGATGAAGAGAAAAGTAAATAATAATAATAATAATAATAATAATAATAACATTAACAACCAAGACACAAAATACTGTTTCCATGAAAGAGTCACACAGCATTGTGTTGTGGCAGTGGCCAAATTATAATAATAATAATAATACATTTTATTTGTGGGCGCCTTTCATAGCACTCAAGGACACCTTACAGATTAAAACAGTTAGAATACATTTCAAGGAGGCAATAAAAAATCAAAACAAGACACAATGTAAAGATTAAGATAAAACAGAATAGAGAATTTTTTTTAAAGAAATAAAAGAAAGCACTTCGTCATGAATCCGGTGGAAGGTGGAGTTATGTGGGGTAGGCCTTTCAAAATAAGTGGGTTTTGAGCAAAGTTTTAAAGGAGGATAGGGACTCAGTCGTACAGATGGATAGAGGGAGGGAGTTTCAAAGGTGAGGTGCACAATAGCTGAAGGCTCTGAACCCCATAGTGGACATGCGGGCAGAAGGAATGGAAAGTAGTGAGGAAGAAGAGGATCGGAGAGTTCGGGATGGGGTGTAGGGCTGAAGGAGTTCAGAGAGATAAAGAAGAGCAAGATTATGGAGAGCTTTGAAGGTGAGGAGTAGAATTTTGAAATCAATACGGTATTTGACAGGGAGCCAGTGCAGTTGTTTTAGAAGTGGAGTAATGTGTTCAGAGACTGGGGTTCTGGTAATAATACGGGCAGCAGAGTTTAGGACCAGTTGGAGTTTATGAATGAACTTGTGAGATAGACCAGAGAGAAGGGAGTTACAATAATCAGTACGGGAAGTGACAAGAGCATGGATGAGAGTAACTGTGTTATGGTAAAAATAAAATAAAAAATAAAATAACAAACAATCATACAGCTGGAACAAAGTATATTAGACAAGCCCAGTATGTGTCCATAAGGCTAAGCAATGGATGACCTAATACTTTCGCCATATCCATGCTGGTGCAAGTAACAGATTAATGTAAACAAGGGAGAGGACAACAAACTCCACCAAGTGCAATGAAGAAACAGGCGTGTGGAGCTGTGGCGTCCACGAACCATACATTGAAAGCGTGAAAAAGAACACCAAATCAAGTACCTGGTCACTATGCCCCGAGAACTAATATATTAACAGCACCCTTACCAGTTGTGTAGACCATGTTGAGCTTTAAGGTAGTATTAGCACCTGCATTAGCGTAGGAAAGCTAATGCTAGCCGATAATGCCGACTTTCCATTCGGTGCTGAGTTATACTTTGGGCCCGTGTCCACAAAAGCGTATTTTGTCAGCTGGTGGGCACGGGCCCTTACAGTCCTTACAGTGCTCTTCCAGCAGGCTTGAAAGAACAGGCATGCTAATCTGATTAGCTTTGGTAGCCAGCTCGTCCCTCTTGGCTTTTTCCTTCTTAGATGGTTTGTTTTTGGATTCCATGGTGCCAACTAAGAACAGGTTTTGCCTTTACAGAGAGAGCAGGTTTAATGGCTGGATTATAGCAGGTTAGTAAGAGCTAGCGGGAGATCGCAACATGTGCGTCTATTCCATTTCTCTCTCCACCAGAAGTCCCACATTGCAAGGCTGCGACATCACACCACAGATGCTGCTGCTTGCCCGTGTATCATGTCAGCAGTGGAATATCACATTATACTTGAGGAAATATTAGGGTTTTTTAGCCCACAATCATAAAATTATCATACGCTAAGAGAATTTCTTTTTTTGTTGTTGTTCTTGTAAATGTATAACTGTCATCACTGATTGTTACCCCACTCTCCTGGCTCTGTATTTTTGGACACACATACATTCATACAGGCTGCAGGGCTGCCTGTATGAATGTAATGCTATTGTGTTGAGAATAACTTAATTTTAGCTGCAACCCCAGTGAAAAGAGCACGTGGCAACAAGTCTGGATAAAATCTAAAATAAAATAATAATACTTTATCAAGTGGTTTATATTTATAGTTTTCGTCATTAACACTGAATACAGATGCAGCATATGTAGCCACACTTATAACAGCCTATTTATGTCCAGTCCCCTCCAAAAGTATTGGAACGGTAAGGCAAATTCCTTTGTTTTTGTTGTTCATTGAAGACATTTGGGTTTAAGATCAAAAGATGAGTATTAGACAAGAGTTCAGAATTTCATTGTATTCACATCTAGATGTGTTAAACAACTCAAGACATACCACCCTTTTTGTTTGAACCCACCCATTTTTAAAGTGAGCAAAACTATTGGAACGTGCGACTGACGATGTTTCTTGTGGCCCAGGTGTTGCCTTTTAGGTTGATTGTCCAAACATTAAACAGCTCTGCATGACTAGTCTAAGTTTTCATCCTTGGTTCAAACCTATAAAGACTGTATTTCCTGTTAAAGAAGACCAGAGAGCTGTCTATGGGAGAAAAGCAAGCCATCGGCAAGCTGAGAAAAGAAGGAAAATCGACCAGAGCCATTGGACAAATTGGGCACAGCAAGCACAACAATTTGGAATGTCCTGAAAAAGAAAGAAACTACTGGTGTACTGAGCAACAGACGTCCAACAGGTTGGCCAAGGAAAACAACAGTAGTTGATGACAGAAATATGGTGAGAGCTGTGAAAAAAAACCCCAAAACATCAGTAAGTGACATCAACGACCTCCACAGTGCAGGATGAAGGTATCACAATCCACTGTTGGAAGAAGACTCAGAGAGCAGAAATATAGAGGCCACACCACAACATACATATTCTGAACTCTTGTCTCATACTCATCTTTTGATCTTAAACCCAAATGTCTTCAGTGTACAACAAAAGGAATTTGCCTTTCCGTTCCAGTACTTTTGGAGGGGACTGTAGGCTAACTTGAAGATAAGGCTGTAGGCTAATATGAAGATAACCTATCTACTGTTGTAGTACGGGTCAATCGGGAAGTTACACCTGATTCACAAGTTACTCCTGAAGTTACCTGGATAAGCCAGTATCCTTGCTTCATAGTACAGGCCTCAGGACACCCTTTTTATTTTCGGTGTTTCAAAATGTATGTTGTGATCGTTAAACAGGACGAGCCCTCAGGCTGGGAGGATTCATGGAAACTATCCAGGGCAGAACTTGAACCAAATGACACCACTGATGACGAGACACTAAATGCAAACTCCCTCAGTACTGAAACCACAGTAATGATGAGGATAAACGATGTGTTTCTGCCTGGGTGGCATTACTCCTGGCTGCTCACTGCAGCTCCTGTGGAGGAAGAAGAAGAACATCACAAGAATTGGAGCTCATGCTGGGGATACAGGCAGCAGATCAGGTGGGCTTGGTGATTGAGTGACCCATGCTTAATGTTAAGTACCTTTCAGAAATGCACGCCTTTACATTAATCTGATGGCAAGTCACAACAGCAATATTATTAGGTCAGACCTCTAACATTTTTGTATTACTTCAGCATAGCACAAGTGTGAAGTGGGAAGTGGGAAGCTTCTCTCTCTCTCTCTAGCAACGGACTTTACAGTATACATATACATACATATACAGTATCTCAAAAAAAAAAAGCAAGGACACCCCTCACATTTTTGTAAATATTTAATTATATCTTTTCATGTGACAACACTAAAGAAATGCAACTTTGCTACAATGTAAAGTAGTGAGCTTGTATAACAGTGTACATTTGCTGTCCCCTCAAAATAATACATCACACAGCCATTAATGTCTAAACCACTGGCAACAAAAGTGAGTACACCACTGTGAAAAGTGATAATACTTGGTTCTCCCAAGTAGTAGCCCAGCTAATTCAATCAAGAAATAAACAGTGGTCCCTTGCAAGGAGGACCAAAAGTAATGTAGATCAACTAAAGATAATTTTAACAATCCATCCAAATTCTGGCAAACAATCAAAGTATTACAGAACAAATCATCATCAGCATCAGACTTTCCTCAGCAATTGAATACCGGAAATGTATCTATGGCAAATAAATGTGATACATTAAATACCTTCAATGGTCATTTTGAGAAGACAGGTCATTTCTTTGATCAGCAGTTTCCTTCAATTTCTGTTGATTCTTTAAGAATGTTTTTTATCACCTAGTACATCTTCACCCTCTGCTCTCTCATTTGATTTTGAAGCCCTTCAAGTTCATGATGTTATGCATTCACTGAATACAATAGACTCCAAAATGGATCCCTTCCTGAGGTGGCTGCATCGGTGATATTGTTAAGCCTATTATTTTTAACATGTCAATTAGTCTTATTCAGGTTCTGGCCATCTGGAAGCAAGCTTACATTACACCCTTCTAGGTCTCTGGACCTACTCAGTGGTCCCCTCTAGGACCACAGGACTAAACAACTACAGACCCGTCGCCCTGACCTCTGTGGTTAAGTCCTTTGAACGCCTTCTGTTGTCCCACCTAAAATCCATCACAGACCCACTCCTGGACCCCCTGCAGTTCGCCTACAGAGCCAACAGGTCTGTAGATGATGCAGTTAACATGGCCCTTCTCTACATCCTCCAGCACCTGGACTCCCCAGGAACCTACTCCAGGATCCTGTTTGTGGATTTCAGCTCTGCTTTTAACACCATCATCCCGGCCCTGCTGCAGGACAAGCTCTCCCAGCTGAGTGTGTCTGACTCCACCTGCAAGTGGATCACAGACTTCCTGATGGACAGGAAGCAGCACGTGAAGCTGGGAAAACATGTCACCACCCTCATTGGGCTCATCTCAGGTGGGGACGAGTCCGCCCACAGGTGCGAGATCGACCATCTGGTGACCTGGTGCAGCCAGAACAGTCTGGATCTCAACGCTCAGAAGACAGTGGAGATGGTCGTGGACTTCAGAAAGAGCACAGCCCCACCCTCATCATCCTGTGTGACTCCTCAGTCACCACTGTGGACTCCTTCCACTTCCTGGGCACCATCATCTCCCAGGACCTCAAGTGGGAGCTGAACATCACCTCCCTCACCAAGAAGGCCCAGCAGAGGATGTACTTCCTGCGGCAGCTGAAGAAGTTCAGCTTACCAAAGACAATGATGGTGTACTTCTACACCGCCATCATTGAGTCCATCCTCACCTCCTCCATCACCATCTGGTACGCTGCTGCCATCGCCAGGGACAAGGGCAGGCTGCAGTGCTTCATTCGCTCTGCAGAGAAGGTGATTGGCTGCAATCTTCCTTCTCTTCTGGACCTGTACGCCTCCAGGACTCTGAGGTGAGCAGGAAAGATTGCAGCTGACTGCTCCCACCCCGGACACAAACTGTTCCAGACTTTCCCCTCTGGCAGGAGGCTGTGGTCCATCAGGACCAAAACCTCTCGCCACAAAAACAGTTTCTTCCCGTCTGCAACTAGCCTCATTAACAAGGCCCGGGTCCCCCACTGACACTCCCCCCTTGCAAACGGTACAAATATCTCTGCACATGTAAATACCGTATCATCTCGTGTCGGGCTCAGACCTGGCACGTTGTACATATTTGTTGTTGATTGTTGATCTTTGTTGTTGTATACTTTTATGTTGTCAGTTTATATATTGTACACAATATTCTCTTCCGTTACGTTACTTCTGCATGGCACAGACCCAGAATAATGCACATGTATATATCTACAACGTTCATGTTGACTGTATGTTTGTCTACGTGTAGCCCTTATCACCGCAGCAAATTCCTCGTATGTGTAAAACACTACTTGGCAATAAAGCTCCTTCTAATTCTGATTCTCTACAAAGCTGGCGATCGATCTGACATGAACAACTTTGGGCCAATCTCTAATCTCCCTATCTTTTCAAAAATCTTGGAATCATTAGTTGCTACCCAACTTAAATCACATTTGGATTTGAATAACATTTTGAATGAAATGCAGTCCGGTTTACAGTCAGGGCATTGTACAGTAACTGCCACTTTAAAAGTTATGGATGATTTTAAAGAGGTTTTAGATAACACATTTTCCTGTGTATCTTTGTGTATAGACCTTACAAAATCTTTTGATACTGTGGACCATCCATTACTTATTAATACTCTCTGAGAGCTGGCATTGGAATGCAAAGTGGGTAAATGATTCCAGTTATCATTCACAAAAGGTTAAACGTGGCAATGACTAAACATTCACAAATGTTAAACGTGGCAATGACATGTCAAATCCAGTTCTTGTTATGAAGGGTGTTCCACAAGGTTAACTTTTGGGACCCTTGCTCTTTCTAGTTTATATAACTAATATTTGTGAAAAGTTTAAATTTTGTAAGTATCATCTCCATGTAGACGACACAGTTCCCCTTCGAGGGAACTTGAACTGCGTCGGTTACGACACTATGGGAACGCCTCTAGGCGTAGCAGGTCTGAACGTGAATGAAATCACTCCAATCCTATTGGTTTGTTGCTAGAACGGTAAGGTGTGACGGAATAAACGGAGGAGTATAAAGCACACCTGTACACACTCATCATTAGCTTTATTCTATTCAGCAGGCGCTCTGGATGTTGTTTGAAGAAAGGTCCAGTCCTACAAGCAGTGAATGTCTTACCTGAGGAAGAAGTCTACCAGCATGTCCGGCAACCAGAAATACAGAAGGTGTGTTTTTCCTTGCCCTCGGTACATCACGGATGGAGATTCTCATTAGATGTGTGTCTCATGTTTGGGGATGGAGCACGCCCTGCGGCCATTGGGAAACCCTTGCCATGCGGGACCTCAGTACCCGCACGGCTCTCTTTTCCAAGGATGGCCTGATGTGTTCTCCCCGTGGCAAGGGCCCTGCGGCCGCTGAGGCGACTCGGCGGCTTCACACCGTGATCTGTCGGAGGATTTCGGGACGGCTGAGGCTTTTTCCCGACCTTCGTCCGCTGGCTCCGATGTTTCCTTTCCTCGTTCGGGAGCCCGTTTCCGGCTTCTCCCGCTCGCGGTTTGGATCCGGAGACGCTGCAGCAATCCGACTCCGAGGAGGTGGACGTGCTCAGTGTAGTGGACGATGACTTCCGGGTGTCGGGGCAACGTCATCAGGCGGCGCCCGACTATGACGAGCTGCTGGAGGTGGTGACTAGAGCCGTGGCTAAGCTCAATATCAACTGGCCACAGGAGGAGCAGACACCACAGGCTTGTGGTAAGCTTGATGAAAGGTTTCTTAAGCACCACGCGCCACCTCCACGCCGGTCTCTGCCATTTTTTGAACGAGACACTGCGTCGGCCCGCCGCACCTCTCTCCCCGCCTGAAGCGCCTGCTTCATAGTTAAGCTAATGATGAGTGTGTACAGGTGTGCTTTATACTCCTCCGGTTATTCCGTCACACCTTACCGTTCTAGCAACAAACCAATAGGATTGGAGTGATTTCATTCACGTTCAGACCTGCTACGCCTAGAGGCGTTCCCATAGTGTCGTAACCGACGCAGTGTCTCGTTCCCCTTCTCGGGGAACCAGGGTTACATACGTAACCTGAGACGTTCTGTACTCCTGTGCCCCCACAGCAGAGCTGGCTTTTTTCAAATGTGCAGGCAGATTTTGATACCCTGCAACATGCTCTATCAGATTGCTTTTAAACTCACACAAAACTAAAGTTATGATTTTTGCCATTGGGCAAACATAGGTATCACGCTTCTCTGTCACGACCCTGGATGGAATCTGTATTCAGTCTGTTGATAGTTACAAATCTCTGGGAATTTGGTTGGACAAAAACCTAAATTTCAAATTTAAAAATAAAGAAATTAAAATTCACACTGGGTTTTCTGTATAGGTAAAAGTCCTCTTTCTCCATGGCTTCACAGAAACACTTAGTTGCTGGCCTATTTCTGTCACAGATAGATTATGGGAACACTATTTATAGGTTTGACTCTCTGTCCACCTTGTCTAAACTTGACACTCTTTATCATCTCTGTATCATCTTTATCTGGCTAACAAGTTTGCACCGCAGAGGATGGCAGCCTCTGGATTATGCTCTGTAGTGCTTTTTGTGTTTTTCTTTATTAACTCTGTTCTGCTCTGCTCTGCTCTACCATCCCTCTCTGGTAACATTTACCAGAGAAGAGCTCTTAAGCATCAGACTTTCAACTGCTCACACTATTCCACCGCTCCTTATCGAACCTGGAACTTTATTAGTTGGAGGCTCTGTCTGGAATCTACCGGAGACGCCGAAGGGGAAAGCGTGCTAGCGCTGGTTAAACTTAAGACAGCGGGGTTTTCGCACTGCGCTCCCTTCTATACACCTGCCGAATGTCCGCCCTCTGGCCCACAAAATGGATAAACTGCTGCTCCTCAACAGAACTAATTCGTACTTCTGCAGATCTGCCGCCCTCCATTTTACCAAGTCCTGGTTCACCGAGCACATCCTGTACAGCACACTTC